GCTGGAGGAACACAGTAGGCCAGGCAGAATCAGAGGAGCAAGAACGTTGACGTTTCGGGTCGGGACCCTTCTTCAGAAATGGCCTTTTAAAGGTGTTATCTTTGACTCCAGCAACAGCAGTTCTTAATATCTCTGAGTAGCTGACAATGGGTTGGTTGTGGTAGCATCCCATGTGATAACACGGCTCAGTATGTGGGTCATGGGGAAGATGCTCAAGACCTAACATGATTGAACTCGATACCGAGTCCTGAAGGCTGTAGAGTTCCCAAGCAGGAAATGAGATGTTGTTCTTCTAGCTTGCGCTGAGCTTTGCTGGAGCACTGCAGCAAGCCTGAGTTAGAGATGTTGGCGAGGGATCACGGTGGTGTATTGAAATGGTAGGCAATTGGAAGCTCAGGGTAATTTTTGCAGACAGAACGTAGGTGTCTCCAACATAGAGGAGACCACAGTGTGAGCAGCAAATAAAGAAGACTAGATTGAGTAAAGTACAGGTAAAATGCTGCTTCACCTGGAATGTGTCTGGGTCCTTGGACAATGAGGAGGGAGGAAGTAAATGGGCAGGTATTACACCGTCTGTGATTGCAGGGAAAGGTGACATGGGGCTGTGGGAGAGTATGCCAGAGAGAACGGTCCCTGTGGAATGCTGACAAGGGAAGAGAGGTGAATATGTGTCTGGTGGTGGCATCTTGCTGGAGGTGGCAGAAATGGCGGCTACTGATCCTTTCGATGGGGATGCCGGTGGGTGGTAAGTGAGGACTACAGAAACCCTATCACAGTTGTAGGAAGGAAGCAAAGGGTGAGGGCTGAAGTACGAGAGATAGGTTGGATACGACTGAAGGTGCTGTCAACCATGGTAGCGGGGAATCCTTGGTTGAGGAAGAAGTTGGACATTTTGGATACCCCCTTGTAGACGCTGGCATCATTGGAACAGATATGGTGGAGAAACTGGAAGAATGGAGTAGAGTCTTTACACGAAGTGGGGTGTTAGGATGTACAGTCCAGGTGACTGTGGAATTCAGTGAACATGTAATGGATATTGGTGGCCAGCCTACATGAGTTGGCCAGAACCCATTTCTCTATTACCATGCGACCCCTAATATACACAACAATGATTAGGAAAACAGGACCTAATATCCAAATAAGGACAGTACCCGCAATAATGCAATACTTCCTCAGTGATTGTAACTACATGTTAATAAATAAATATCGTTGAAATTTGGATTAAGCAAAATGGAGGTTTTGATTACTGTTTCTGTTACTACATTATGAATGGAGGTGTCCAGTGGCAAGAAATATTCAGTGCTCAAATGTCCTGCAGTTTAAACCTTTGACTCTGACACAGAGAAAGTTTCATCCCCTCAACCATCCCCAATTTAGACTTGAGAGATGAAGACGTAACAAAGTTTCAGTGGTGTACGGAGAATTTATTTTAGTGGTGGACAAAATTCCTACATGAAGTATATAAAACAACTCAAGCCAATGTTGTGAGTACACAGGTTCAAATTATACAATGACAGCTTAATTAAGAAATGCAGGATTGAAAACCAGCTTACTACTGACCATGAAAACATTGTCAATTGTCATAAAAAACCATTTAGTTTGCTGATGTCCTTGAAGGAAAGAAATCTGTTGTCTTTAATTTGTCTGGCCTAAATGTGACTCCACACCCACAACAATATGTTGACTCTTAAATGTCCTCTGTATTGGCCTGGGAAACCATTTGGTTGTATCAAACTGTTACAAAGTCTAAAACAAGTGACTGAAGCTGGACAGACGACCCAGCATCGACCTAGGCACTGAAAGTGACAACAGCAAACCCAGTCCTGTTGATCCTGCAAAGTTCTCCACACTTCTGTCTCGGTGTTGGTGCCAAATTTGGGTGATCCTGTCAAAGCGATTGAGCAAGCAACAACTTCACATGGTCATACTTACAGAATTGGAGCTTATGGACGATGTACCAAACACCATCATCTCCATCCATGGGTATGAAACGCCCCACATGCAAGTCAGACTGATGAGAGTTGGCGGCAGTTGGGAAAATTTGCCCTGGCGTCCTTAACATTGACTCTGGAGCCCACAATGTCTCGTAGCATCAGGGCATACAAGGCCAAGAAAACCTTTCTCCCACCGCTCTGTCCCTGTTATCAAGACCACTAGAAGAAGCACTGAGGGTGGCAATGGCACAGAATGTATGTTGGGTGGGCAACCTGAATGTCCATCACCAAGAATAACTCATTACTGACTGAGTTGGCAGAATCCTAAAGGGCATAGCTAAGAGATGAGTTTTGTGGCAAATGATGAGGGAACCAAGTGGGAGAAACCTACGTGATCTCATCCTCATCAATCTACCTGTCACAGATGCATTTGTCCATGTCAATACAGGTAGAAGTAGCCACTACAAAATCTTTAGGAAGATGAATCCCATCTTTACATTAAGGATAACCTCCATTGTGCTGTGTGACCTTCCCATCATGCTAAATGGGGGAAATTTTGACCAGAGATAACAAACAGCATTCATGAAATGCTGTGGGCCAGCAGTAGTAACGGAATTACACTCAACCACATTCTGTAACTTCATGGCTGATCATATCCCTCCCTCCGCCCATTACAGTCAAACCTGGGAGTCAAATATGCCTCAATGAACTGTGTAAGAGGGCATGCCAGGAATGGCACTGAGCATACCTAAAAATGAGGTGAAGCAACAATATTGGATTGTATGCAAGTCAAATGACGGAAACAGTATGAAACAGACAGAGCTAAACCACTCAGTAAATCAGATCTAGGCTCTGCAGTCCTGTGATGGTGGTCAATTAAACAATTCTCTGGTGGAGTAGGCTCTACAAATATTCCCATCCTCAGTAATGGGGGAGTGCAGAACATCATTGCAAAAGACAAGACTCAAAGCATCTGCAACCATATTCACCCAGAAATGCTGAGAGGATGATTCATGACAGCTGACTCCAGAGGTCCCCAGGATTACAGATGCCAATCTTCAGCCAATTCAATTCGCTCCAAGCTCTCTCAAGAAATGACCGAAGTCTCTGCCTACAGCAAAGACTATGAGCTCTGACAACTTTCTGACTATAATACAGAAGACTTGCAATTGAGAATGAGCCACACCTCTAGCCTAGTTTATTTCAATACAACTACAATGCTGGCACCAACCTGACAATGTGGAAAATTGGACAGGTATGCCCTGTCCAAAAATAGCAGGACAATTCCAACGGGCCAATTAATGCCCGGATCATTAGCTAAGTGATGGAAGGGAACATCAATAGAGCTATCCAGTGGCACCGAGACTGCAATAACTTACCCATGGTGCACAGTCTGGGATCCACCAGGGTCACTCCATTCCTGACTTCATTACAGCCACCTTTGAAACATGGGCAAAAGAGTTCAACTGCAAAAATGAGATGAAAGTAGTTGTCCAGCACCTCAAGGCAGTATTGACCAGCAGATTAGAGGTGAGGCATTCTGTGGTGAGTAACTGACCTCCTGACTTTCCAACACCTGTTCATTATCTAGAAGGCACAAGTTAGGAGTGTAATGAAATACTCTGCACTTGCCTCCATGGATGCAACTCCAACAATACTCAAGAGACTCAACTTCATTCCGGGACACCAGTCTGCTTGATGGGAACCCCCTTCACCACCATAAACATTCATTCTCTTCATTATCGATGCTCAATGGTGCCAGTCAATAGTGTACAAGATGCACTACAGCAACTCACCAAGGCTCGTTTGACAGCACCTTCTATAACCTAAAAGGCAGCAGATACATAAGAACATTACTACCTGCAGGTTTTCTTCCAAGCCACACACCATCCTCTGGAGGTGCCGATGTTCGACTGGGGTAGACAAAGTTAAAGTCACATGACACCAGGTCATAGTCCAGCAGGTTTATTTGAAATCACAAGCTTTTGCAGCTCCTCTCCTTCGTCAGGTGAAGTCACCATTGTCACCTGAAAGCTTTTGATTTCAAATAAACAGGGTAGACTATAACCTAGTGTCATGTGACTTCTGGCTTTGTGCACACTATCCCGATTTGGAACTGTATCACCGTTCCTTCACTGTCCATGGGACAAAATCTTGGAGCCACCTTCCTGACACCTACCTTTCTACGGCAGTACAAGGCAGCTCACCACTACCTTCCTCAGTGCAACTGCAGCTTTGCCTAAGAAGGCAGAGACTAAAAACTTCATTTTTGTAATGCTCTTCTCAACTACTGGATGTTTTAAAGCACTTTATATCAAATGAAGCTCAGAGATAGTAAGACCTGCCGACGCTGGAGTCAGAGATAACACAGTGTGGAGCTGAAGAAATGTCAACTTTCCTGCTCCTCTGATGCTGCCTGGCCTGCTGTGTTCCTCCAGCTCCACACTGTGTTCTATCAAATGAAGTACTGCTTGGAGGGTAGCCTGAACAACTCAGGAAAAACTGCCCAAATCTTCCAATGGAATTAGTGGTGATTGTTGAGGTGTTATGCAACTAGATCCAGAGAAAATGTAGACATATGCACATGGTACTTGCACACAAAATACATGCACCCAAAGGGCAGCGATACACTGCTTGGAACTCTGCGTGGATGCCTCTAAAACTAACCCCATCATTGTTGATTCGGGCTGGATGTGTGGAACCTGCACAGAAATTTCCACCAGAACATTCATACTAGGTTGAAAGCAATTAACAGCAGAAATTATATCAGGAAGGCCTCAAAGTGAACTTAAAAGTAAATATGCTGAACCAATAACACATTCCCAGCCCATAATACCTACTCACCTGTGAATTATTTTGCTATGACATTATCACATACAAATAATTTACATTTTTGATGTGAAACCTGGTTTTAGGAGCTTGCTGCTGCATAGTTATCATTCACATCAGTTGCAATTGACAACAGAATAATCGCTGTACATTTCATTATTTTCAAGTTTGAAGTACAACTCCTTTTAGTATACCTGTTCAAACTGATTATTATAAGTAGTTGTTATGAACACTTACTTCATATTTTCCTTTCTTCTCTAATGGCTCAGAGTCCTTTCTGTCTGTTGTAACTTGTTGGCTGGCTTCAACTTCTAGTTCTTCCAGCACGAGGACTGTTTCACAATTATTGTAGCTGTGAGCAGGAAATATATCCGAGCGCATACTGTCACCAAAGTAAACAACCTGTGGGTGAAATAGCATGCATCAACCTAAGCTCTCTCGATCAAAGTCCAGACCAAAGGCAGAGGTTAAGTCATTGAAAAAAAAATATCAATATAAAGCAGAGGAGAAAGCAGAGACGCATTTGAGCCTAAATCTTCCAAAGACTGGCAATCACATATCGCCATTCTGCTCCAACTTTTTTGCACAAGACATCATGCTCTATATTTCTCACTGGCATTTCCAACTCTTGCACCTTCAGAAATGTGGTGCAGACCTGGAAATCCAACTATTCACTTGTAAAGTAAGATAATCCAGTTAAACCAAGCCTTCCCTTTTTTCAGGGCTTTGGATGCTATCATCTGTTAAGTTTAAATGT